CACAGCAGAATGTGTAAATTATGAGAAAATCGAATTATAAATTATTTTAATAAGATATTATTGTAAGGAGCTTAAATAAGTTATTTTCTTATCATAGTATTAAAAAGAAGTGTCTTACTAATATTTTAAAAAGAATATAGTGCGTTGTATTATAAAAAAAATTTCGCGTATACTAAATGGGACAGAATTCACAGTAAAACCAAGCNCACAGCAGAATGTGTAAATTATGAGAAAATCGAATTATAAATTATTTTAATAAGATATTATTGTAAGGAGCTTAAATAAGTTATTTTCTTATCATAGTATTAAAAAGAAGTGTCTTACTAATATTTTAAAAAGAATATAGTGCGTTGTATTATAAAAAAAATTTCGCGTATACTAAATGGGACAGAATTCACAGTAAAACCAAGCAGAGGATGATTCTGCGTGAATAAAATAAGAAAAAAATTTGGTATGACATTTTTTTATCCGAGACTATTTCGAATGAAGGCAACTGTGGTAGAATAATAGACGACAACTAAGTCCTTTACGAAGATGAACAAACTTTGAAGTCGATTTTCTCGAAAATGGAGCCCAGCATAAAAAAATGTTTTCTTAAATTTTTTCTTATTTTTTCACATATGATCACTCTCCGTTCGGTTGTACTACTGAAACTCGACTCCGTTGTTCAGAAACTTCGTTGCCAAAGAGTTCAATGATCGAGGTATTACCGCACTTCCTCCGAAACAACATCTGTGTTGGAAAAACTGTTTCTGACACGAATTCCGCTATAGTTTTTTCTGTGTCCTGTTACATTATAGAAAATCGTCCGAGAATCTGCAGGTGGCAAAGTTCGCGATTTTAGTTTCAGATGGAAAAACAGCTCAACTTTTGCTTTACTTATAATCATGTTGTATGCTCACGTACTCTATGTTACAACTTTTTTTTTGGTATTAAATATTTTATGGTAGTCGATCCGCGAGAGGTCTCGGTGGTTTGGAGATATCTCAGTGTACTGTTGTTCGTCGTTCGTGATCGGTATATGACACAATCTTATTGCGATAAATCGAAATTTCGCTGTATATCTGCCGTTGCAAGGCAAAACAACATACGTCGCATTTCAGTTTATACCATAACTGCACTTTGCGAGACAGCATTTTGGTTTCGAAATGAAAAACGCATAAAAATAATTTTTCCTTTTATTAGAAGCCGAAAATTTTATTCTGTATAAATGAAGCAAGTAAATATAAATAAAGAATAACACATAAATCTAAAAAATTTAAGAAACATACGTGCTTGCATCTCATAGTATTTTATGTTAATTGAAACTGACAAAATTATATACATTCAGATCAGACGTACATTTGTATTGTACTTTGCGTTATTTCGATAATGAATTGCTATTTGAAGCTTTAACACTCGGACAGCGGGCCTGGGGGTCCCGTTCGGGTGCCCAAAAGGAGTATTTTAAAAAATATGGTGAAAATAATTGATGAATAAAATTATAAACATCCCTAAGCATACTCGATTATATTTTCGTCAAAAACATTCGGTGTTTGAGTGATTCTATGAAATAGGAACATGCGACTTACGTTGTTTTGACTTACCATACATATTATAGGAACAAACAATGGAGTTCTATAGAAATTTCAATTTTTGAGGTAATCAATATCATTGTTCAAAGCGATGCCTACGAAGAATATCATTCGACCGGTAGAAATTGGCCTACGATTCACTGGAATATGGCCGTCTGCTTACGAAAATTTCTTTCGATTGCTTTGGGTACTAATGATGAGTCCAACACTAGTCATTCAATATTGGTACGTAAGGAATCGCTTCAATTCTGAGAACCTGGTAGACTTGATAGAATGCGTGAGCTGTGCTGTGCCGTATGCTCTGATCTTTCTCAAACTGGTCACCTTCTGGAATAAACGCAGGTAAGCTTTGTCGCAAAGCGTTGTTTGAAATATTATAATTCATACAATACAAAAGTATTAATAAATGAAATAATACTCCGTTACAATTATTCAGAAAATACTCGGATAAAATATTAAGTGTAATTGTTATGGTTACATAGTGTAAAACACTACGGTAATGTAGAATAGTGTCTTAAGGTTTCCATTTTCATATTAACAATGAAAATTGTGGCGTACTGCTGTAGACTATACATATAGTAAACGAATTCAATGCAATGTACAATGCAACATTCTCTGTGGGAGTGTCATAAACGTTTCAATAACTTCGTGTTATTGGAATCTATTCAATGCTGCCAGACGCAACGGGGTGCGAACGGCTTTGTCTTTAAATCAAAAATTGACTAAACAGCAACAGTTAGCTGTGAACTGCTTGTTAGCCATTGCGGGTAATACTATTGGAATTCACGAATATCGAACATTATATCTTGCAGTGTACATAATTTTGAAAATTAATGGCAGCAATAGTAGAACGTGATTTACGCAGCAAATATAATGTTAAAAAACTATAAATGATAACTGGAGTCATCCCTAAAAATTGGAAAACAGAAGGATATAATATTGTTTGTACTAATCTAATTTCTAAAAATTAATTGTAGATTTATTCCTTTAAACCGACGTGTTATTTTTGATATTAACGAGACCAATACTGGACAATCTAAAATAGACATGTTTCTAGTATGCAAATATCGTTTAATAATTTCACTGTATGAATATTATCCCGATAATTATCGGGGTGTCTTAGAATTTCATCTATCGGTGTGCTATTACATACTAAAAATGAAGGAATATATTAATGTAATGAGGTAGTAAATTCAGAGTTATAAACAAAAGCTCCTTTCGCGGGTTCAGTTTAGATAGAGTCTTCGGACCCAAAGCCCGTTTTTAGCGCTTTAGAAGTTGCCAGCAATTGCCTGAAAGGGTGTCTTGCACATTATTGGCCGAAGCGCCGTTTTCCACTGTCATAATAGCTTTTATTGGCCGTCAGACCCAAATCTCTGTTTACGACTCCTTATAAGAACATCTTTGAGGTAATAAACCCGACGGGATCATAAATGGAAGCATCTTCAGTTTGGGCCAGTTAGGGTCCGTAGGCTTAGGGTTGTTGTTAAGCACTTTCCGACCGCTAGACGAGGCATTCATGAACATTCGATTCTTCTTTAGCCGCTGATCATATTGTAACAAAATATAAACTGTCTATAATCTACAGTAAATCCTAATTGACGCTCAGATTGTGCACAAAAATGGACAATTTGAGAAGTGGAGATTATTCGAGGCGATTATTCCTCGTTTTTATAGTTGTTGACAATCGGTAACTATAAAAACAAGCCGAAACGCTGGAATAATCGTACATCCTCTTCCCAAATTGTCCATTTTTGTTTCCAAGCTAAGCGTCAATTAGGGAGAATTTACTGTAATCAGTTTCTTGGGGATTATTAGTTGGGAGATTTTTAAACTCTTGTTCGATACAAAACAATCGTTAAGAACTCTATTAATAAGCACTTGCCATTTTTGCAGAGTATTTAAAACCATTCTAATCGCAATGGATGCTGATTGGGATAACACTTCCATTACGAAAGACCTCATGGCAGAGAAAGTTAAATTGTCGACTCGCTGCTCCCAATTGGTACTGAGCATATATGTTTTCGCAGTGTTCACATACAGTCTTGTGTACATCAACGGCATTCGTAGTACCGGTTACAATAACATTTCTGCAGAGTCTGCGGAATTGTTAATCAAAATGGAACTTCCATCGGTAGCTTACGAAAGCCTGAATTTCCAATACGTAATAATCGCCCAAATTTGCCAATTATTATTGGTCGCTTTTGCCATAGCTACCATGGACTCTCTACTGATTACGCTGGTAATACCCGAAAATAGAAAAATTGTTCTATAGCACGTTTTATATTTGTTCATGATCTGTTCACGATTCGTTAACTTAATATTTCGTTTTATAGATATTACACGTTGGAGGGCAGATAGAAGTGATACATCAAGTTTTAGCAGGCATTCAGTTAAAGGGCATAAAACGTGGTTTGCAAAAAAGTACTTTTAAATATTTATTCAAAAAGCATCAGAATATCATTGACTTCACAAAATACATTGAGAGCCTTTTTTCATTCATTGCTTTGATGCAAATGGTGTGCAACACGATTAGTATTTGTTGTATAGGCTTCATGATGATGATAGTGAGTAAGACTTTCGACCATTACATTTTTGAAATAGTACAAACGCCTCATAACTTTCATCCAATGTTTCATATACCGTGATATAAGATGCATGCGATCAATTTCAGAGTAAATTGAAAATGTAGAACAGAATTTGAAGTTCAAGATTTTGTTCAATGCAAAGCCTAGTTTTCTACAGAATTACTAAATCATTCCGAAAACAAACTAAAGGCACAGCAATTGGTCACCCCACAGTAATCGACTCCACTATCCGATGAATCATACGGGCGTTGTCCTTTTTCCGCAGTCGCACGAGGTGGCGCGAATCGCTTAGTCCGCGAAAAATAGCATTAGGAACGAGCGTTCGAATAAAGCGACTAGCACGACGCGCAGAGCCGAGGAGCGACGAACAGCAAATGCCTCCTCGAAAATTTGGTCCCAGGCGCTTTGTTGCGCTTCACGTAGGTAAGTGTTGGCTCATACAAAACCATGGTTACATTCTTTTTACCGGCCCTGCGCGTCGCTGCTCGGCCCTGCGCAGTCCGCGATACGACGCCCAACTTTTCGGATTTACTTATTCGATCTTTAGCACGGATCGGTAGCACGTATGTGAGGTCAGCTGACGACCAGGGTTGTGTGGGTTTTCGATATTTCGGATTCGGTTCAAGTCGAGAAAACTCGGTTGAAATCACAATGTAGGAAGGGAAACTACGGTAACCCCACCAGAAATTTCTGTAACGCTTCTGTTACCGCGAGAGGTGCTAATCAAACATCGAGCTCAGGAATACATTACTTTTTAAAAATATATTTATTAACTCCTATCACTATTCGGCTGGTTCTCCCACTCGCCGCGCTGTAACGAAAAAAACTGGGAACACGGCGCATTGCGACGTATCGTTTTCGTTGCATACAAATATGTAGTTTATTTTAAGTAGTGCAATGATATTATGATCCCGATTTATGTACTTTAATAAATCATTATTTCTTCATTACAAGGAGATAAGGAAATCAGTAATTAATAAAATATGAGATATACGAGAGTGTTAATAACTAATGACTAGACTGTGGATTTTATGCAAAATAATAGAGGTAGACAGAGGCTCTATGTCACGTCGCGTCGTGATAGTAGCTCAGAATTATAATGTTCACCCAGTAGATGCGCCATGCCGCTGTGCGAGACACCCGCGCATGCGTTGCATGCCCCCATTCCTTGCGTAGCCTATATTCCTTCGTACACTAAGCCAGATGAAGATATTATTTCCCCTCCAGTTTTCCCCTTCGACGACGCTGTTCCCCTATTTTTCGGCTGCAAGTAACCCCACCCGTCGCCCACATGCACGCGACACAACGCAGTGATATACATAGTTTCAATTTATAACTAATGTGTTCTGTTCCGTAATATACTGCAATATTATGTCACCTTCCCACAAAATAAAATACGGTAATTTCTCTCTAATTCGCACTCAGATTGCGCACAAAAATGGACAATTTGGGGAGAAGAGATATGATTATTCGCGCCTTGCATCTCGTTTTAATAGTTGTTGACAATCGGTAATTATAAAAATGAGCTACAAGGCTCGAATAATCGTATCTTCTCTTCCCAAATTGTCCATTTTTGTACACAATCTGAGCGCGAATTAAGGTGAAAATACTGTATATATATAAGCGATTTATTTGATTAAATTGGTATGATACGCTGCGATAGCTTCAACCTTGCAATCCTGTCATGTCGGTCATTTATCATCATGTAAGTAAGCCACGGTCTCCTCCTGGCGAGGTCCCAACCAATTCACGTTACGTCTGCGTTGTGAGCATTGTTGCCAGGAAATGTATGGCACAAGGGGATATCTCTTTGTGCCCTTTGCGACATGTCCCATAATCACAACAAACTAACGTTTGAGCAATAACGATTTCGATGGAATTTTCAGTATGTATATAAGTTACTGGGATCTATACAAAATGCATTTTTTAAATTTTCGTTATAGGCTCAGATGAAAAAGTAGAACAATTTTTAGTATTTAATAAACTCTAACGTTTCAAAAAAATTTTAATCGCTTGGCCTAATTATGAAAAAATTATATTCCGTTTTAAAAGATGTACGAATACTTACATTGAACGAATACTACACTGACTGTACACTATGAAGGAAAAGTAGTATTACTAAAAGCACGAAGATAATACCATGTCGCATACTAAACGTCATTGCAAAATGTTTGTTGTTACGTTTTTTTTTTATTTTTGATTCTTGTAGCTTGATGTTTCTTCGAATCTTTATTCCTCACGTATCTATTTCTTTGTTATAATTATTGTCATAATTATCTTCTGTAATAATAGTTGTGTTTAATAATAGTCGTTTATACTTGATTGTATATAACTTGTTCATTTAGTGCTTTCTTATTTGACTCGAGTTTTCCGTGGTTTCTTACGTTTTCCTCATTTCTCATTTCCGCTCTCTTCATTTTTCTTTTGATCGAACTCGCGCGAACTTTCGCGAATGATCAGCATTCAATATTGAATGTAAACTTTCGTTATGGATTTATCAATTTCGAAGGTGTTTATCCCTCAATCTAACTCTCCAGGCAAGAAATACGATATTAACTTTGATATTGGGTACAGTTTTATCACTGAATGTGGCTAAAATGTTTTAACTTTTATGAATATGAGAGGAGCCAAGTATTTTGCAAATCTTTCGTTTATGTTTCCGATTAAATATATGTATATTGTAGCATATGTATATTAAATATATGTATGACGTACATGTTATGTCGCGGAAATTAACTGTAGTAGAATAAAAATGAGTAAATATTAGAACATATTGTCAAGATCATTATTCTGGGAAACTTAGATCAGGGCTCGGAATAACCGAGCACGCACACACCGATGCCGCGTGGGTTACGCCTCCTGATTACCGCTGCAACGTCTTACTCCCCGCGTTGCCCCGTTCGGCTCGGAGTACCTCAAGCGCGTACCGTAGTAACTATTCGTGGCGCATTAGGGGCGACACTTGTGTCAATAGATTTCCACGTCATCCATGAGGTATTATTGTTAATGCGTTTTTTTTGTCAGTGGTAATTTTCAAGATTTATTTTCCATATTTATCATCATCCATATTACTAACAATAAAAACGCATTAACAATAGGTACCTCATAGGTAATGTGGAAATCCACGGTACGCGCCTGAGGTGTTGTGAGCCGATGGAAGCAACGCGGGGAGCGTGACGCTGCGGTGGTAGTCAGGAGGCGTAGCCCTCACGGCGTCGATGTTACGTGCTCGTTCGTTCCGAGTCTTGTTTTAGATCGTCTTTTCGGCCCGAGATCTAATCCAGACCTAGTTTAGACCTAACGCCTTAGGTTTGCGTTACACGAGTCCGAAACAAAAAAATACTATCATATTATTGCTACTTTATGCAGTTATTCATTTATGTATTTATTAGTGGTATACAATTACCAATATTTTAAAACTGATACCTATTTGTCCAAAAGAATTGAATGTTTTTTTCAACATAAATTCTCTAAAACAGTGATGAAAATAATTTTAGGAGATCTTTATAAGCTGCAAAAATATGGACTGTAATTATGGATACCTTAACAGCTCCTGGACCACTAATTGTAAGAAGGAGACTAGAATAAATGTAGACAATAGGTTTGCTGCGGTGGCCGAGGTAGAACTGGTGGCCAGTCGACGAAAGTCCAGCTCTGGCCGGGTCTCTCTTTGTCCTAAGATCCAACGCAAATGTTCTTGCGATGAGTTTCATGAATACATTTCTATCGTCACCGCAGTCGAGCTCTCGGATCCTACGGGTGGTTCAGCTTCAAACCGTTGCGCCTACAAAGGATTCACCGTGAAAACCTTTGAACCTCATCTCAGATATGCACAGGGTCAGAGACTTAACGACTTCATTTGAAATATCTCTATTATTTTTAGTGACATAAAAAATTCTTGAGGAATAAAAATGTTTGCTTTAGTGAGCCGCTTATTGTGATACATATCGTCATTCTTCTTCTAAATGGTTCAAATATTGTGATTAGTCTTATCGCTAATGCAAAGACATTTGTTATATGTTGACCTTTGGATGACCTTCAGAAGAGTTATTTTTCAAGAGACATAACAATGCACGAATAGGATGTTCATGCTTCCTGTATTTTAGTAGGGTTGTATTAGAAGAGCCTGCCTCCGTCTATTAGCGTCTAGAAATTTTATTGAAAATTCACACGATCTGTTGAAGATTATTACATGATTCTGAAGTGGTCGATTGTATCGATAAATTTGTCAACTGCATCGAATTTATGAGGCCCTGTCTAATATTTATAAGAAATGTCTCTTCGATGTGATAATACGAAAACGTTCTACATTTCCGATTTACCTGAACATGCGAAATTTTCGTTTCGCAGATTACTGAGTTATCGCTTATAAATTTTAATTAAATGAAGGAAAAATTGTGTTCGTACTTTCTCGAAAAGTGAAGATCTTTTCAGCCAACTCAATAACAACAATATTTTCAATTACCTTCCAAGTACAAATCAATGTTTAATTGATTATTACAGTCATTCGATAGCAATGACAACGTAAGAATGATGATAAAAATACTTTTCTTTTATCTCTGCATTGCGATGGAGGCGTTCATCTTTTGCTACTCAGGAGAGTACCTTAGCAATAAGGTCAGCACCAGCTATACAAACAATAATTAGTGCAGTCTACCTAAGAAAAAATAAATAATTTAATTATAAAATATATCCTGTCCGATTTTAGAGTACATCGATTCATATTGCGGCATACAACTCACTATGGTATCTTCTGAAACCTGATGATGGTCGCATAATCATACTTTTAATAGCAAGATCCCAAAAAAAGTCAACAATTACCGCTGGAAACGTAATAGACTTGTCACTAGAACGCTTTACCGGCGTAAGCATCCTTTTTATTATAAACATGATTTTATAAATGATAAAACGTAAAGAAAAGTGGACGGAATCATTCACTGTTTCCAGCTTATGAAGGCTTCTGCTTCGTATATTTCTATATTACGTGCCATGTGCTAACACCGGAGGTATGATTCACAATGTGGCAAATAGAAATTTATTATCATGCACAAAAATTATACAACACGTAATTCAATAAACATCTGAAATCACCGAATCCATTTCGGTATTTCTTATCCTCCAATAATTATCTGACCAAATTTTATACTTTACATAGGGTTGGGGAATCAGTTATTGAGGGCTAGGCAATTACTGTGTAATAATATTTAAATTAAATTAATTATTTATTTGTTAAAATTAAACATGTAAAAGACGGAAGTTCTTAAAATACCACAAAGATTATTTCAATTTTTTGATACTGAATTCGGGAAAATTTCTGTAAAGCTTATGAAAACGTTTAAGAAAAAAACGAACGAAGGAAGATCAATATTCAATAAAATAGTATTTAGAAAGGTAGCACAGTAATCGAAGCACAGAAAGATAACTAATCTTTATAGATCATAGGCACACCAGTAACTGACACCAGAACTTTTTTTTGTTCTTTCTCCTAATATTCGAACAAGATTTTGATATTTGTTTTATGGGAAAATTGATATCGATAAAATAAACTTTGAATTCAATCTTCAAGGTGTTAAAAAATGTCAACTAAATTGCTGAAATTGTTTTTAGCAGCGAAAACTCCTGAAGTCCGTCGACAGGGTGCAACAGGACTCGGAATTAAGTACACGCAACACGGCGATGTCGAGGGCTATGCCTCCTGACCAAATGGGGTGGCGACGCATGCGCAGGAAGTTCTGCACAGAGGCGTGGGACGTCTATCGGGCGACTATTATAATTCTAAACTACGATTGCGACACCACGCAGAGCCTCTGCCTGATCGTAGTTCAGAATTGTAATGTTCGCCCGGTAGACGCCCCACGCCGCTGTGCAGAACTTTTGCTCATGCGTCGCCTGTTCCCACTTCTTGCGTAGTGACTTTTTCTGAGTACAGTAATAGGACTTATTCCCCTGCATGCTTTTCTTACTCCCACATCTAAATCGCAGTGGATGCTATCTCAGCAGTGAATCGTCAGCCAATCAGAGCAAATAAAATTAATCCATATCGTTTACCCGTGGTCGCCTAAATGCTACACGTACACATATAAAGCAACTGGCATATACGTTTGATGTGCTCCGAGCTGAAAGAGGTGACCACGGTTGAGCGAGACGCTGCGATGGGAGACAGGAGGCGTAGTCCTCAATATCGCCGTATTGCCGGGCCCTTAATTCTGAGCTCTGGGATACAATAATTAACTCCTGTACCCTATACAATTTTTATTTATACTTCTATTTGAATTATTCAGTCTCCCTTTAATTACTAAACTTCAGAAATCAATTTAATTGATTCTTCTATTCGATCTAATCAAGAAACCAATCAAGATCATCATATTTGATGCAATAAAATGTAACACTCGGTGAAAACTGAATTTAGATTGTCGTTTTGATAGTCTCTGACCACCGTTTCACTGTCACTCGTCTGAAAACTGCTTCAGTTACAGATTCGGATCGCAAGAACGAAATAACCTTTCGTTTTTTCCATCGCGAAAGAAAATTCCTAGAAACTTTAAGCGCACGTATCTATTTATAAACGCATTTCCTCGTCCATTTTAGAATTTGAATTCGCCGCAACTTGCACAATCGAATCAATTTAACATGTTCTTGCGTGTTGCATGTCAGATTCTGTAGTTTCGACGGACATCATTTATCAATGCAGAAAAGTTGTAACAACAACTTTTCCTTCCTTCGTTTCCGTTCTCGATAAGCCTATGATATATGCAGCGTTATTTCAAATATGTATGCAGATCATGCGCGACGATCGCCTGCTCGAGTATACTACCGACGCAGACTAATTTTCTCACAACATTTCCGAGAAAGTTTCCAGTCCCACGCAGAACGCTAGAAACCAGGAGAGCAACAAATACGAATGGGTTCGAAAGATAATGAAATTTTGCAAATCAAAGGGAAGCGGAATTTAGAAGAAGAAAGCAAATATCGCGGTGAGATGAAATCGCCAAGTACAGTCAGCAAATCTGTTAAGTTCGGCCTTCATTTCGCCGGTATCTGGCCAGGCACACCACTCCCAGGTTTGCACAAAATCCTCTGGGTGATCTTCATGGTTCTGTTTCAAGGTTATCAATACAGATATATAATAACACGATTCAAATCTGAAAGTCTCGAAGCTCTGATCGACAGTTTGACCATCGTTTTGCCGTACTCTTTAGTATCAATTAAGCTGACTGTTTCTTGGATACATCACAGGTAAATTGTTTCAAATGAATTAGTCCCGATCCTGCATACAATCTATAACATATTTGTGTATAGCAATCTATTTTCTCGAGAATTGAAAAGCATAACACATTTTTGTCACGTTATCTGCATCGTTGAAAATCGTGATCTGTTATCTTCGCGTAAAAATAAATTAGCTTCAAGTGATGATATGAAAGTTTGAAATGAAGAAATAGCTTCATAAACTTGTACTTCGTTGTATCATTAAAATATTATTACTTCTGAACATACCATCCACTATAGCAACGTCTATAATTAGACTGCGGATCTTTATGCAAGATAAAAATTGTCTACATCGATTGTAAGAAACAGAAGTGAAACAAAAATTTATTTTATCTTAAGTCCTCCAAATTCTTCTATCATTTTACGTTTCATCAATTTATTTTCGTCATAAGTACATAAAATCTGCAGTATCCTTAAAATAAAATATTAAATTTCTTTCTTAAATCTTTCTTGAATCTCCTTAATTGGTGCTTTACGAAAGGGGAGCGGTCTCTTTATTGTAAAGTATTATAGAAGGAGACACTTGAATACCATTGAATGGATAGATTTTTCATTCGATTGATAACTAAAATTGATGTGTAAAACGGAAATTATGTAATTCTCGATCAAACGAAAAGGTCTAATATCTGACATGTCGATACCTCGTAGCGTCTTGTGCAATCTTTTATCCACAATGGAAGAGGACTGTGAGAAATATGCGGCCATCGATACAAATAAGTTAATACCGAAAGCGGCAGAGCTTTCCTATCGTTTAACAACCATAACCGTTGTCCTCTACCCAGCATCAGCGGGCTTCTATGCAGTCGGTACTTTCGCGTTCCAACAAAGCAATGATTCAACGGCACGCCGACTTCTTTTGAACATGGATCTGCCATTCGAGACAAACGAGTCACCGGTTTACGAGCTTGTGGTAACAACACAATTTCTCTTTCTAACGTCATCGGCATTTACCTTTGGCATCTTCAGTGCTCTTCTTTTGATGATGGTAAGCGAAAATGTGTTCAATCATGACGACTTCACTGCGGATCTTTCTGTAAAGTAAAAATGTTCTGGATCAATTGTAAGAATCAGGAGCCACATCGCATAAAATTCATAACTTAACGAAAGCTTCTGATTTGAAGAAACCATAAAAATATAAATATCAATCGTTTGAAAAATATTGGAACATATTCTACAGGCAATAGAACATATTATGCATGTGTACACAATATATTTTGAAACGAAATAACTTTTTTAATATTGGACCAAATGAATTGAAATTTTTGAAAAAAATTGTTTAGTCACTGTCTAGCGAACTAGACCTCTAGTTTTAAAGAAGTTCAAATCCAATTTGAAAATAGTTCTTCTATTTTAAAAGGTGTTCGAATACTTTAATGAGCCACTGTTTATTAAACATTAATTTTTAATGTACAGGGTGGTACACCTTAATCTCTTTTAATTGTGATGATATAAACAATATTTTCTATGCAATTTGAATGATGTCAATGGACGAATATGTTGCTAAGAGTATTTTTATGTTAACCATTTCTTTCACGATATTAAAGAAGAAATCTATTTTGTTGTTTTTTACAACGGTTTAATCATAAAATCATTATTTTTAGACGCTTCATCTGGGGTGTCATGTTGATATTTTGTGCCACACCCTATCGGATCTATCTACGATCAATAATGAGCACATACGGTTCTTCATCAGCAGACAGCAAGAAATCACCTTGTTTGCAAAGCGGGTTGAACAGCTCTTTACGTACATATCTCTTAGCCAACTCTTCTCGAACACTTTGATTACATGTTGCTTAGGTTATCTTATTGTTATTGTATGTAATTGCAGAAGTGAATACGTGTACGTAGCACATTCAGTTTTTTGAATGTTATTTAACTTTGCATTTCAGACGCTAAAGACCGACGGTGGACTTTCTATGCTGATCAAATCTGTACTCTTCTATTACGTTATTTGCCTAGAAGCGTTCATATACTGCTTTGCTGGAGAATATCTCGACATTAAGGTTATTGAATAAAGTCAATTAGTATTGATTTAAGTATTGATAAATATTGTTTGGTCGGAAAGTAATAGTGTTTTTGCAATAAATTTCATTTTGTAAGGGTGTTAAAAAAGCACTTGACTCAGTATTTCGCCAATAAAAATCAGGATTCCCGTGAACATAAGATTTCAAAGCCATGAGAAAAATGTCAAAAAATTATAGAACAATATATCGTTAAATAATGTTTACTCCAAACATTAAAAAATCGTCTTTCATTTTCTTGCGAAAAAACGAAATTAGTTTCCGGACCACCTCGTAATTGATGCATGGAAAAATGGTTCAAAGTTGTATATCAAGGGAGCGCACAATGTTACAATTGGCTTTTACGCTTTTTTGTTAGAACGTGAAAGTCGCCTTGAGATTTTCGGTGATAATGGACAAATTTTAATTCGTGATAAACATGATTTTTAGCGAACAAAATATTCTTGGATGCTTGATCTTTTGTGTTTTATAGATTGCAGATTTAATGCATCTGTGATTAACATGAGTAGATGATTACATATATGTATGTATATGTATGATACATTACATATATGATATATATATATATATATATATATATATATATATATATATATATATATATATATATATATATATATATATAT